TGATCACAGTTCACAAACAGTCAAAGATCACGAATCACGATTCATAAACATGATCCATATAACAGTTCGTATAATCACTTTTATTAGAGATCGCTCGTGACCAATGTCAACTTCGGTCGCATTTTGTAAAAAACATCGCTGGTACGGCTATCGACGATTTCGTCTTTTTAAGTTGCTTGATAATGAGCTAAAGGCAAAATAAATTACCTTGCTTTTCATTTGCTTTGCATTCCAGGCAACCGGTGAGGTCATTGGAAGAGTGCCACAATGTACGCAGGAGGAAATGCAGAGAGCTGTCGATTCAGCCAAGAAAGCATTCAAAACGTGGGGAAAGAGCTCACCAATCATGCGTACTCAGTGCATGTACAATTTGAGGGTATGCTGATCTTATCAGGATTTGTTTCTATGCTCCAAGTATCCATGAATCGCATATTTAAGATTCGCTATGCACAAAGGAAGTTTCCGGATTTGGAAATTCACGAATAAACTTTCGGATTCGAGACCTGTATAATTGATGTTTTTGGTTTTCGGACGCTTCAGGAACCATCGAGAGAATTGCGTTTTGTCACCGATTTACTTCTTTTTGGCCTGAAAATGCACCATATAGACATGTCACCTAGTTACTTTCCACAGAACTAAATGACCCAGTACTCCACTACAGACGCATACAGCGTAACCATTATCTTTCATATGCAAATGGTTTAGTCATACGCTAACAGGAAGTTTTCAACATAGCCGGAGTCGAATTGTGTTTTTAACAGTATTTTAAACAAATCAATCTCTTGTTGTCTTTAAGTTTTTCCGACTAAAGCTTACATTATTGAAGAAACTTTTACACCTCTTGACTGATTACGCCACTCATCTGACAGAGAGTCCGGTCGTTTACGACGCGCCAAGCATTTTCGCTCGATTGCTCTTTCCGTCAAAGCCATCGCTCGCTCTTCTGCTTTCGTTAACAGTCAAGCTTTGGTCGAAGGACTTTGATGTGGACAGTAAGCAGTTAAAGAAGTGCGCAAATTTTTTTAGTATAAAAAAACATCTTTTTTTAAATTTTCTTTTTACAGAATTTGATCAAAAGAGATATTGACAAGCTGGCTGAATGTATAACAACTGAACATGGGAAAACATTGGCTGAATCAAAAGGTGAAATAAACCGAGGACTACAGGTTATTACTGTGGAGTTTACAATGTCATGATAGAAAGATGAATGAAGGAGGATGGAAGGCGAGGATAGAGATGCACAAAAAGATCGAATGTATTACTTGGATTTTTCATCCTAAAATAAAAGGCGTTTCTGCGCTTGGTTTGTGAAAGCGTTAAGTAACATTATTAACGTAGGGTAATCACACATCTAAGGGATTTTGTTATTCCTGCTAGCTGCACCTTTTCACACTTTAAGCGATTTAGGTAAAATACAGCCAAGACTTTTGCGTATTCATTCTTGAGAAAAGGCA